TTTAAATCAATTATTGTGTAGTGTTTCTCTTTAAGAATCATTTCTGTTGACGGCAGGTGGCAAGAATATTGCTTAATTTATCATTTTTTTTTACCAGAATTGGCAGTCCCTAAGAACAAAACAAGCCCTGAGTGTCGCAGGAAACCAGTGTTGCCAACTTTTCAGAAGAGCAGTAAGCTTTTTTGGCAGGAAGGAGAGTGAAATCCAACTGTTGGAAAATCCAAAAAAGGCGGTAAAAAGATAATTAGGTTCTTAAACCAGCCACGATTCCCGAAATAATAAATAATAGTTTTTTGGTCGAATTTTGGTCGTTCAAGCCGGATTTAATACAATTTACGCAATAGCTCCAAGCCAATGTTTGATTAATACCGTATTATATATAACAACAAATAGAATACTTTTTATATATCAAGAAAGTTGTTAAAATCGCGTCTGACCCATGACCGACTATTTAATATAAATAGCTACTTAAGAATTGGGTAGATACTTAATTCAAAAACAAAGACCGAACAAATAAACACTATATATTATGAAGTTTGTAGAGTAATAAATAATCAGTATATTAAAATGCAGTCCTGAAGTAACTAATTCGAACAACTTGAATGTGATTATAAGCATAAGACCATCTGTTGTGCTTGAAGAGTATTCTTACTTCTTAGTTCAACCAGTGCTCATTGGTGTGGGCTTTTAATCTGCCGCTTTATTGCTTAGTATTTCCAGCTATTTGAAGCGAATCTTATTTAATTTCTTTACTTAAAAAGGGTGGTAGGTCGGCGTTGTTAGTTACCTCTTTTAAAACTCCTGCTCAATAAAGTTTTCTTAAGCAATTTGCTTAAATTTTCCCTGCATTAATATTGAAAATGCAAGTTATTGTTATGGAAGGCGACACAGATAAGCAGCAGTCTTCTAGAGAAAAGTTCAGAAGTTTTGTTCAATTCTTATTCCACAAAAATTAATTCTGCGAGATTTTTACTGACTTTTCTATCGCATTTTATAAAGGTACAATATTTCATTCAAAAATTGGTCGAATATCCTAATGCCTATCCAATTGTATGTTTTAATTAGTTGCTTGTCTGGCCTTTCATTTGCTTTTCTGTGCATTTAAAAATCAATACTCAAAAATTTTACCAGCTTTGTATAAGCTTAGTGAGACGAAAATCCGCAACGCAGCTATATTTTCAACCACTTAGGCTAGATGTACTGCAAAAGGCTGCAGAGGACAGAAACACAGCCTTCGAACAAGTCATTTGCATTTCTAAAAACACAAGCAAAATAAAGAGTGTGTGTGTGTGTCTAGACTGTGTTTCAATATTGAAATCCTTTTGTACATTGTATTGCCACTAAAATACACACAAACACAAAGGAGTACACCTAGGCTCCCCCATAAATCTCTTATTCAGTCATATATGTACGTATATAGTAGTATGCTCTGAACAATCCTCACATGAAAATTGCATTCAACAATTTGCGATGTGGGGCGCAAAATTTGCACGGCGCTGAGTCAACAATTTGTGCGCATGGCGCTGATAACAAAAGGTAAAATGCTACAAATGTATACACCCATTCATACATATGTACATATACTTGTATATAGAGACAACTTGTTACATATATACAAATGCATAAACAAATATACATGCGGCTTCACAATGTACATACATACTTGTACATATGTATGTACATATAATGTTGGTTTGCTTGAATGTATATCGTATCGTATGTATAGAAAGGCTACGATGCTTTTTGCCGGCTTTTTAGCTTTTGTTGCTACAAAAATATTTGCCAATGCTTTTGTTAAATGCTGCATGTGTGTTGCTTTGTGGGTGCGAGGGTCGCTCCAAAAGTACCTGCGATGTGACTGCGACTCTTAAGCTTGATAATTCTTTTAAATACGTTTCTTTAACACAACTATAAGAATATTTGTGAAACATTAGTTAATACAAAAAATAATGGGCTTAATTATTTAATTAAATAATAGTTAAATGTGATGATAAAAATAACTATCCCTCTTAGTCTGAAACTTATATCAGTCTGTTTAAGCCAAATTATATTGAAGTTAGTTAGCCTAGTAACTCTGGTTACTGATTGGCTTTAGCTTCGGGCGCCATTCTGGAAACTTTGCAGCTTCAAAACTTAAGACAGATTGAAAAAAAGTGCAATTGATTGGAAAAATTATATTTGAATTATTGGTTCCACACACAAATTTGAGCATTTGTTTTTGGGGCTCCAGATTAATTGCTAAGGTCTGCTCCATAGCTCGTAAGAAAGATTTTGGTCAGACCATTTGAGATGGACAATAATTTAAATTTTTAAAAATTTCGAGGAGACGTTCGATACTTTTTAATATCCATTTAGACTGGCACTTTTTCTAGCTGTCTTTTAAAAGAATTCAAATCTTTATTAGAAGTAGAAAGCAATTATATTCTGGACACATTGACACTTGCTTCCGTTAAAGAAACGCGTTTTTGAAATTATATATTTTTATTAATTTCCGTATAAACGTATAGCTGATTGTCGACATTTTATTCTGGAGAAAATTGTGATAGAAAATTGATAAAGATGATAGATTTTTTACAATCAGACTACTCTGTCAAAAATGCCAAGACTTAAATTTTGTGGAATTTCAAAGACTTAACGATCAAGTGGAAGTAAATCTTCGTATTCTTTAGGAAATTGTAGGAGAGGAGAGAAGTATGTAGAGAGATAATTTTTCTTGACAATAAATTATGTTCCTATAATGCTGTGTTTTTAATATTTAATACATGTTTTTTGAGAATAGTTAACATTTGATGTTGGTATATTTCTAATATTAAATGTCTGTCGCCTTATTCGTTCTATAATTTCTTGCTCTTCGTCTAATTCCCACAGTGTTATCAGTTCAATAGGAACTTGGCCTCAAAAGAAAAAGAGTTTAACGCCCAGCATGAGAAATATGGATGGCACTATCGAAACATCGATGGACTCTTCTATCGATAGTTATCATGCTCTAAGACAGTATCTTTTCAAAGTATCCTCTGCAATGGCTCCCTACTCGCGGTACTGTTTGATCAGCTCTCGCATTTGTGTTCGTGCCTCTCTGACAGCCAAGTGTTCCTTCCAATTGTTGCTGTTGCTGTTGTTGTTGCTATTATATTGTATTGTGCACTTTGGCGTAGGCTACCAACAAATACCGCCACTGTAGCCGTCGCTCGTTCGCTTATTATGAATTATGGCCACGTTGACAGTTTTGTCCCGAACGAGGGCGTGGAAAATCAGACAGATGCGCGCAATCTGTCGTTGTTCTTGGTATTTACCCATATGATTGTTGTTGTTGTTATTGTAAATAAAACATTTCTTATTAATAACGACGTTATAAAACTGTCGTGCCGAACACTTGGCCAGCTCTACAGCTGCGGGCGGTCTCGGTCTCCATTCCCAGGAGTTATGCAGAAATCCTAAATCGCAAATATTTGGCAACAAGAAAAAATATGTCTAACTTTTTCCACTAAATTAAGCAATTAATTGTACATTTATTTAAGCCGACAACTACAACTACTATATTTATTAAATGTGCATATTCTTGTTGTTGTTGTTGTTGTAATTTTTGATGTTTCTTCTACAACATATGGGCATAGATTATAACAAATCGAAAAGTTATGCGCCGCGCTGTCAGAGTCTGTTATATTTGGTGGGCCATCAAATAAAGCAACAAGCTAACAAATCTTGCTTTTGGCCAACTCCCGCACCGCTCTGCACAACAACAACAACAACAACAGCGACTACAACAACCTCAACAGAAATTGAAAAACTGAAACTTAAAGTCAATTCGCCGGCATGTGACTTAATTGATTGTGACGCATGGCATAAGACGATGTCGGCATTTGAACAACAAGCCAAAGCGGTTTATGCGTGAGCAAAAAATCGAAGTTAAAAAAAACTGAACAAAATGAAAAGCGAAAGTCAAATCATTTGCCTGCCAAATACGCAGTTGAATGAGTAGTTAGTTATTGAGAGCATGATGAGTTGGCCAAAAATAACAACCATTATGAGAGGAACTGTATTTTAACTTTTAAAACTTTATGATTTAATATTGTGGATGGATTTACCAAATTGCTTCAGGAACTGTTTAGATTAAGTAAAAGTAAAATCTAATATCGTCCGTACACCGATATAATATATTAATATTTTTAAAATACATTTCCATTGCTCCTCCATTCCTAATCAACAATTTTATCCATTTCTGTATGCAGACTCATTGAACTCTTAATTTTTTTTTTCTTTTTAAATATTGATCTTGTAAGAACCTATTTTTAGAATATTTATGTCCACATTTTTTAGATTTAATATTATTTGATTTTCATATTTAATTTATTGTTTATTTTTTAATATTATTTCTGTTTTTATTTTTTACTGTAGCTAATTTTTAAAATGTTTATGTTGTTAACATTACGTTTCTAATTTAAAGAATTTATGTATGTTTAATTTTAATATTTTATTATACCCTGCCCTAAACCCAAAGGGTAAAGGGGTATGCATGTTTAGTGAGAACGTATGACACACATAGTAGGAAGCGTGACAGACCCCACAAAGTATATATATTATTGATCAGGATGACAAGACAAGACGAAATAGCTGTCCGTCCGTCTGTCTGTCTGAGCGCAACGATCTCAGTAAGTACAATAGCTAGGATAACCAAACTTGGCATTCAGAGAGAAAAGATGGCCATGTTTGTCTGTGTGTCTGCCAATCTGTGCGTTTCTCCGTACGTCTCATCTAGATCCCAGAGATGCATTATAAGTCATACAATAGAATCGGAAGTTTTTTTTTTGGATACAGGGTATATCAGTGTCGAGCTTGTTCGACGCAAACATGCTCTCTTGCTCTTTAAATGGATTTGTTTGTGTGGCGAATTTGTTTCGTTTCATTTACATGGTTTTTGTCAGTATTTAATCTGTTACATTGGCCATTTGGGGCTCATAGCAAAATGGAGCTAATACTGCAGCAACGAACCTCCCATTTGAGGTCTTTAATTTGTCTCATCATCATAGTTTCAAAAATTGGCCTCCTCCAAACCAGAAATACTTGCCACTGGATTAGCAATGCAGCGGTAAGTACTATACATATACATATATAGTATTAACAAAACCTTTCTCCTGCCTGCTTCGAAAATATCGCGATTCATTTGTTTGACAAGAACTCCTGTGACTTATTATAAACTATCCTGATTCAACATATATTGGAATTTTTTCGAACAGGAGACCTGGGATACAGCTTTGGGTATATGTCTCAAGAATCAGCTCTGCTTAGCCGATTTTGATACAAAGGACCACTTCTATATTCTTGAAGCGCTTTTAATGAACGTGCAACCAAAAGAGGAAGATGAATTTTGGTTCGGCCTTAACCGACTACAAGGACCAGGGCTCCACTACATATCTAATTTTGAGTCCATAAGGTACGTGCCAAAATTTTCTCAAATCGCCGTCATCGAAAACAAGAAGTGTGGCTTTTTAAAGAAAAAAAAAAATCCTTCTGTTCATATTGACTTCGGCGACTGTCAGGAGAAACGTCGATTTATTTGCATGGAGAGTTTAATGTGTAAAAATGTTACTTTATTTAGTACTTTTACTACGGGATATAATATAATGCCAGCATGCGAGAAGAAAGCATTACAGAGATACATAAATTGAATTGTATAGATTATGGAATTTCAAGTGCAATAATAATTATATTAAAAACACAACCAAAAATAGTATGTTTTTCCGATTATTATTATATCACAGAATATAGAAGATTAAAAACCAAAATATGTTAAAATTAACTTTTAAATAATATTAATCTATTTCTATTTGTGTGGTTCAACACTCTCTAACTAAGGGTGATCTTTGTACCGAGCGTACATATATAGTGCACCGCTTTTGGTGAAATATCTTGAAATATAATGAGATCAGTATATTTTTCTTATCCATACGCAGAGCAACAAGCCTCTAAATTGGATTTAGAAATGCATGGAAAATTTACCATAATCAGCAGAATTGTTGTGAAGAAATATTTCCTATGTATTTATTTCTGGGCCTATTCAATTGACTTCGACAAAAGTAACCTGCGTACCCTGTAACTGATACGAGGCTGATACATCCGCACATATGTTTGCAGATCGAATGTGATTTTTAATGCCCTAAATGTAATAGTTTAGTGCACAGATGGACGCTGGCAGACCCCACAAAGTAAACTTATTATTGTTCAATACGTCCGTCCGTATGAACGCAAGGATCTCAGAAAGTATAAGAGCTAGAATAACCAAGCTTGGTATCTAGATTTTCCTAAGACCGAGAAAATACGAGTTTGAGTTTTTTTTTCGACGCAATTAAATTTTTGTGTGGCTTTTTCTTTTGTTTTTCACTAATAATCCCGAGTTTATTTACCATTTAATTAAAACACGCAACTATTATATCAACTTAAATATTTTTTATTTTATTTAATTATTAATTTTTTGTAAATTAATACACTGTTTTTAATTTTTTTTTTTTTTTTTTTTTTTTGTGGGTACATGATATTTTTCTATCGGGATTGCTCGATCTTTTGTTTTGACTAATATTTTATTATTTATAGAATATAATTAAACAATGTTTGACAACATTAATTCATTTCGTAATTTTATGATCAATTTAGTAAGAGTTTAGTAAGAGAATTTCTTTCTTTAAGCATTTTTCTTTCAGTGTAAAGTTTTAAATATTAAAGAGTTTAATTGAAATGAGAAGTATTATTTATTTATTTTCTTTTTAATTAGGAAAGTGAATTTATTTGTTTAATTTATGCGCTTTTTAAATGTATTTAATTGAAATCTTTCTGTTTTTTTTTTACATTTTAATCATGAAAGACCAATGGATATTCTATAATATAGAAAAAGCAGTTTTCTTAATAAAACTATTACCAATATTTGCAATTACATTGCCATTCCTGATAATCCCTAAGCTGGCATCTTTGCAACACTACTTATACTTTCTTGCCGATTTTTCTGCACGATATTTTAGCAGAAACTGAAAATATTTTTCAGCTATTTTAGCACTTTTATTTGGCCATTTATCAGATACTTCTGTGTGTGTGTGTGTGTGTGTGTGTGTGTGTGTGTGTGTGTGTGTGTGTGTGTGTGTGCGCGCTACTAATCGTCATCATCGAAAGCCCTTCGCAGCCATTTGCTCGCGCCCATGGCACAGCCTTGCCCTGCCCGGTCCGGCCAGGCTCGGCCCATGACCAATGCCTGTTAGCTGATCAATCGTACAATTGAGTATAAACTCTACTTTATTTGCAGTACGCAGTGGTTAGCAAAAAAAAAAAGGAAATACAAAAAAATAAGTGCAACAAGGCAGCAGGCGACGCTTTTTTGTGAGTTTGTTGCTGCAAATGCCGTTTGCCAGCTGCCAGGTTGGCCTGTTGCATGGCCCTCCTTTGGCTTTGTTGTTTTAATGGCTTTCGCTAACATAAAAGCCATTAAGATAACATTTTTATAGGATTTCAATGGCAGTCACGGCAGCCGGTTGCATGCCACACGGCTCAGCAGCAGCACCAGCAGAAGCAGAAGCAGCAGCAGCAGCAACTGCAACAAAGAAGAAGCTTTGGCGTTTTTTATAGCCAAGACCCAACATTGGCAACAGCCCCAGCACCAGCCCCAGCCCTACAACAAACCACGTCCAAATGTCATTGACTATCAATAGAAGTAGTAGTTGCAGTTGCACAGCCCTGCACTTGGCAACAGGTTGCCCCGGCCTGGCTTTTGTTTCAACTGGCTGGCATTTGTCTTTGTGCCTCAGCGACTTCTGCTTGTCTGTGTGCGCTTATTAAACGCAATATTTGTGGCAAGTTACAGTTCGCTCTTGGCCATATGCCTGTACTTGGGCCGGCCATAAAGTGCGATTTATTTTTGTTGATTTTTTGCGTGCGTTCGATCGTTTGTTGCGCCGTTTGCTGCGCCGTTTGCTGCTCTAAAAGGCCCACAGCGTACCACTTCCTACTTCCAGGTTCGCATCATGGGCACCAAGGGAATGTCCTGCATGGTCAACTGAAAGCGCTATAAGCTGCCATTGCACTGCATTTCTCTGCTTCTAATGCTCTCCTCAACCAATCTCTGCCCAACCCCAATATCTGTACAAACTACCGCCACACTTGCACTCAGCAAGACAAAAAAAAAAAAAACAAAAAAAAAATCCACACAGAGTCAGACCCCAATGCCACTCGATGATGCACTGCGCTGACCCTGCCACTCGAAATTGCGCACCATGGAAACGGAATTGCAAATAACCGATACAAATTAAGTAATGAAATGTATTTCTTAACATGTAACCCATTTCTATATTTTGTCTACATTTTTAACTTTAAAATTTCATAGAAGTGCCAATTGCCGCAACTAACAGCATTAGCTCTTTGTGAAGCAAATTTTAGATTAAGCGGAAAATCTGATATTACGAAAGAGCGCTGTTTTTTAGAACAAAAGTTGGAATATTTTGATGCATTGGAACTTTGTATTTCGCAAAGAGAACAGAACAAACAATTACATATTTTAGGAACGAACACTTTCTCATATCAAGATAAGTTTCATGTCAAGTTAACTTTAAAAATTCTTGCAATAAACCACACAATATCCATAGACTTCTAGTCATCTCCCATATTAGTCATTTAACCTACTGGTAGGCTGCGCTCTCATCGATGATTTTTTACCACAATCGATTGTTTTTATCGCAACAATTCACATCTCTTCTTTATGAAGGAAAAATGCAGGACTTGTAAGTGAAAATATTATAGGAATAACCTCTGCATTATTATTTGTCTAAGAATATATGAAAATAGTAATTGTTGCAGAAGTTCATTCCTTCCCTCTTTCTGTGACACTTTGTTTGACCTGAGAAATTGCTCAATTATCACGTGACAAATATTTGCAGCTTTACTGATTCCCATAATTTTCAGAAAATTGTTTATGTTGTTTGGTGGCAGTTGCTACCTTTCCGAATCGGAGAAATAAAAGCGTTTGTTTTAAAGTTCTACACGACCAAATCGATTCAAAAGTCAAATCGAACATATTCATAAACCGCCCAATGAAGTAAAGAAAAGCCGAATGGAGCACTCTTTAATTAAATTTTGATTAAATACTGAAGGCATGAATATCTGAAAACGTTTCTAGCAACTTATGCCCCATCAGGGAGACTGTTCTACAAGGCTGGGCAGATTAATTTTTTTTTATTTAAGCAATCGGTAGAATTAATGGCTTCTTTAAAAAAAAAATCGTAACAATCGATAACACCACCCTTACTTTCTTAAAAGTCGGACACTCACGGTCGGCCAATTTAGGTCCGCTCAAGGGGAGTGTCCGCTTAAAGGGATACTTAAATACTTTATACACCGATCGATTGTTTTAGAAAAAGTGTCCGCGGAAGAGAGTATCCGGATAAAAGGACCGTAATCTTGTTTATTAAATTTCAAAAATGATTTCCTTCTTAAAATATTTTTTTCTCATTATACATTACAATTCTCTTTGGATACCAATAAAAGTTCCTTAAAAAAAAACCAGACGACAAAGCACTTGAATACTTTCTAAGAGGAACGGAGCAGTTTAGTTGATAAATTATAAATGCCTAACAAAATAAAAATAAAAAACTAGAACAAATGTTATTCTTAAATTAAATGTTTACATTTTTATTCACCATTACTTGTACTTTAGTTTATTCTATTATTGCCCATTGTGCGCCAAACACTTTCAACAAATCGCCTCACATTTTTTGTTGTTGAAATATTTCTTCTTCTTATTTTTGTCTTTTCTAATGCCCGACAATTGTTGCCACTCTTCCTAGTTCGCTTTGCTTGGCTTTGTTTTGTTTTGCTTTGTTTTAGGGAGCGTCGTCGTCATCTACGTAGTCGTAGTCGTCATCGTCCAGCTCCCCAACGTCCATTATGCTGCATTATTTGCTGCTCTTACTGCTGTTGCTGTTGCTGCTTCTGCTGCTGTTGATCCTATACTTGTACATTGGTTTTCGTTCCGGGCAGCTGCTGATATGGATATGGTGCGGTGCGGTGTGGTGCAGAGTGGTGCGGTGTGGTGCGGTGTGGTGCGGTTCGTTCGCCCTTTTGCATGGCATTGGCGCAGCACAAACACATAAATTGCATTTGTCGGTTTGTTGTCGTTTTCATAAATAAGATAAAGATAAACGACCAAGTTGCATATTATTTGTAATTGCATTTGCTGTTGTTGCTGTTGTTGCTCCTCTCATTGTATCTGTTGTTGATAGTTGTTTTTGTTGCGATTGCGCCCTCGACTGAATCTGACCGGACTATTGATAGCAAACTGTTAGCAGCATTTGAATTTATTATGCACTAAGCATTTGAGCGATAAAACCCAACATAATGAGCAAATCAGGGGTTATGGAACTGATCCATGCAGTTATTGCATTGCAGCTTAATGAGCAGAAAAAACCTATAGGTAGATAATTTTGATTTAGATTACTGCGATGGTCAGCAACCTAAACC